GTTTAAGAGTGCCCGATGCGAGATCCAGATGTTCGAGTCCATCGTGGGAGTAGCGCACGGGGCTGAACGTCGGCGGTCGCTGGGTTTCTTGGAGGCGGCCTTCGAGAGGGATCCCTCGGAGTTCCCAGACCACTGGGCCAAGGATCTGTGGGAAGAACTCCGGAGTACCTGGGTCGAGGAGCTACGGGAGCTTAGCTCACCCGACGTTAAGGTGTGCCCTTGGCGCCTGGGGTCGACTGACTCCCCTTCTGGGCGTTCTTCGCGCGCGCAGCATGCATGCATGCAGTAGATGGCAACGTAGCACCGTCACATAGTTACACGTATACAAACGCACATGCATCTTCACATCCATACATACATACACACATGCATGCATATTTACATACATACATGCATACATACAAACATACATAAATGTATATACATTTGCGTACATGCATGCATACATGCCTAGTCACACATTGTACTTACATATGTGGATACGTGCGTGCATATACTCGCGCACACGTATTAGTAAACATGCATTCATAGCTGCATACATAGAAGTCGATATGTGTCTCTGGTATATATATATATGGACATGTTTACAGATATGTATACAAATACACATGCATGCATCTGTATTCATGTAAACATAGATGCTCAAACATATATATTTACTCGTCTTCCCTTCCCGCAGCCATTTAGGCTCACGCCTTCGAGCCACCGCCTTCCTGCGGGAAGGCTCCCAGCGCCCTCCCAGCGCCCTCCGGGCATGGCTGCGCGCTCCCGCTCGAGGTCGCCGCGCTGCGGCGTGTCGAGCCCATCATTGTGCCCCGTTGGTCCTCCTCCTCCTTCTCCTTCTCCTCCTCCTCCTCCGCCTCCTCCTCCTCCTCCTCCTCCTCCTCCTCCTCTTCCTCCTCCTCTGCCTCATCCTCCCCCTCCTCCCCTTCCTCCTCCTCCTGCTCCTCCCCCCCCCTTATTCCTCCTCCCCCTCCCCCTCCTCCTCCTCCTCCTCCTCCTCCTCCTCCTCCTCCTCCTCCTCCTCCTCCTCCGCCTCCCCCATCCACCTCTCCTCGGTGGCGGCATGGCTCCGCCGTCCGTGGACCCGGTGGACTTCTGGGACAAGGGCGAGGTGGGCAAGGGCGAGGGACACGGGCGAAGTGGAGGACAACGACGACTCCCAGGGCGAGGTGGTGGAGCCCGCGAGGACGGACGGCATGCACGAGGACGGCATGCACGAGGACAAGTACGGCATGCACGAGGACGAATACGGCATGCACGAGGACGACGAGTACGTCATGCACGAGGACGACGAGCGCGGCATGCGCGAGGACGAGTTCTACGGCATGCGCGAGGACGAGGACGAGTTCTACGGCTTGCGCGAGGACAGGAACGAGTTCTACGGCATGCACGAGGACGAGGACGAGCCCTACGGCAGGGCTCCAGCGACGGTGGAACCCGGGCAGGAGTGGCGCTACGTGAAGCTCCTCAGCCTCAGCGAGGAGCTCGAGGGGCCCGTCGTGGGGCCCGTCGTGGGCTCATGGGCCGATTGCTGGTATGAGGACTCATGGGCCGATGTTCCACCATCCCTACCATAGGTAGGATGGGGGAGAAGGAGGGGGGGGTCCTGGATCCTCCTTCTCCTCCTCCTCCTCCTCCTTCTCATCCTTCTCCTTCTCCTCCTCCTCCTCCTCATCCTCTCTCTCCTACCTTTGGAAGTGGCGGTGGAAAAATGGCCCATTGAGGACGACGACGACCCGCTGAAGGACATCTATCACGACTTGTTGTTCGGGGACGACGAGCCTCCGCCTACGGACTCGGAGATCAAGGAGTGGCTCTACGGCCCAGATATCAAGACGAAGGATGAGTGCGACCCCACGTGGAAGTGGAACGACGACCCGCTCAGGGACATCATGAGGGACTTTCGGCGCGGCGGCAGGGAGATGACTTCGCCCGTGGCGCGCAACGCCGCCGTCGCCTGCAGCGCGCCTCTCCGCCGCCGCCTGTGCGCGACCCGTCGGCGCCGCCTCGCGCCCTGTGCGCGACCCGTGCCGCTTCGCGCCGCGTGCGCGGCCTGTGCACATTCCTCCAGGGAAGCCCTCGAGGAAACGCACGCCCTCCACCTCCACCTCCACCACCTCCCCCACCTCTTCCCCTCGTGGAACAGACCACACCTACTACTCTCCAAGTCCTTTACCTCTTCCAAGACGTTTTCGGACTTCATGTCTAAATTTGGCATCACTACCACATTGGCTCGTAGGTATTTTGGAATTCCAGAACTAAATTTGGCATCACTACAACAGTGATGGCACCATATTAAGTTTTACATCGCTACAATAGTGATAGCTCAGAATGGTGCATCGTTGGGCCTATCGTAGTCGATCGTCGAACGCATGACGTCCGAGTCGGCCAAAACATACAGAAATGACAGGAATCGATCATCTGTCATCGTCATCGGTCTCGCCATCGCCATTGTCATCGGTCTCGCCATCGCTCGTCATCGTCATCGTCATCGTTTCGTCTTTTCTGTTGCCACGCTGGGCTCGGTTCGTTTTCCCGCGGCGCTCTCCTCGGGCCCAGCGGGGGCCCGGAGAGAGCGAGGGGCCGCTGGCGGCCTGGGGCCCCATCAACATCAGCATCACCATCGCAGGGGAGAGGGAAGGGGGGAATGAAGGAGGAGTCCCCCAGAGCAGAGTCGCCAGGGGCGGCCCCCACGCGCAGGCCCCGAGTGCCCCCTTGTTTGCGCCAGCCGCCTCGCCAGCCAGCGAGGGAGAGCAGGAGCGAGCGTCGGCGGCTCAAGGATACAGTCCTGAGGGTAAAGCGGGAGGACGAGGGTGGGCCTCTCGTCGACTGCGGTGTGCCACCGTTGCTACAGTTTTTGCTCGAGCGATTTCTTTATTGCCACGAGCTTTTCAAAACTTCCTATCCTCTGAAGCTGCTGCGATGACTTCTGCGATGGATGCTCAAGCTTCCGATCCTCTTAAGCTCTTGGTCACCCTCAATGAACTTCCGATCGGCTTCAAGACAGGCTGTATACTTAAGCTACCGCTCCCGATGCCTGATATCTCGGTGCACATCGCAGGCAAAGCCGCACAGGTGCTGCCCGTGAAGCCCCCGACTGTGTGTTCCGACGTAATGTTGGAGATCAGGGGGCGGCCGATCAAGTGCCCAGCTGACGAGGGGCAGCAGAAGTCTTACCAGTGGCTCGACCTGTCCAAGACGGCGCCCGGTGAGCCCATCGAGTTCGGGGGAGAACGTGAGACCCAACCGACTCCCACGCTGCCGCCGCGGCCGCGGAAGCGGCTGCGGAAGCCGACGGCTGAGGCCAACGTGCACAGTTCGCAGCCCGTCGTGCGTTAGGCCAGCTGCATGTACGTTGCGCCCTCTGCTCTCTCCCTGCTCTCTCGTCCCGCTTCGCTGCCGCTGCTACTCTGGCCGATCATCACCGTCGTCAGTCCACGGGGGGGGGGGAGGAGGAGGGGGAGAGGGATGAGGGCGAGGATGAGGAGGAGGAAGAGGATGAGGAGGAGGAGGGAGGCAGGAAAGGGAGGGGTCGCCCGCCCCCGCGCCTGCGGGGCTGCTCCCGCGGGGACGGTAGTCTCTCAGAGAGCGGCCTGCGCCGGCTGAACAGGGGGGGGGGAAGGGGCAGGAGCAGGATCATCATCTTCGGAGGTCTGAAGAGGAGGATGAGGAGGAGGAGGGGGAGGAGGAGGAGGAGGAGGAGGAGGAGGAGGAAGAGGAGGAAGAGGAGGAGGAGGAGGAGGAGGATGGGGGGGAGACGGGGGAGGAGCTAGTTTTTTTATTACAACGTCAGTCATGAGAACAATCTCCCCCTTGGGGCCCTCGGAGCCCCAGGAGCAATTGGCGGTCCAAAGCAAACGCTGTTTGGGGTCCAAGCGCTGTTTGGGGTCCGAGCGCTGTTAATTTGGCGATCTTGGCACAGCACGTTTCGTTGTCATTAGGTCGTCGCCGAAGTTGAATAGCCACTTTGGCTCGATGAAGTTTAGGAAACGCCGAGCGGCCCAGAAGACCCGCGGCGCCCGTTCCTATCCACGGGCGCGCTCTGATGATCGGGGTCTCTGGTGCGCCATTTCTGAGAAAAAGGGCGTTGTTGTCATACCTTGCAAAAGTAATGAACCCAAGAGGAAGACGTTCTGGCTTTGGCGCCATGCCAAATCAAAGGTGCATAAGAATGCAATGGAGTCTGCCCACCCGACTGCTCCGAGCAAGAATGCATTCAAAGCTGTGTATGAAGCTGCGAAGAAAGGCGCGCCCGCTGGGAACAATGGCTTAGCCAGCGTCGGGAACAAAGAAAAAATGAGGGACATGATTTATTGTCTTGGGGAAGCCGCGAAACGTCATGGCCAGAAATTTCTCTTGAGAGCCGAATCCATCACTTTTCTCAGGGACGCACGGCATAATAGATTTTGCATCAGGTACATTGCTTCGAGGAAGGGTTTCAAAGTTCAGAGCGGCGTTTTGGGGCGGCGTCGTCAAGACGGGCTCTCATCAAAATGCATTGCAAAGGTGCAAGCCGCATCATCTCAGAGTTCTGCACGTCATACGCTCGAGGTTCCTATCCTGAACGGCACCCAGTACTGAGGAGGCGCATCCGGGACCGAGTGCACCAACTTGTTGTAGATTCGGCAGCTGATGAGCTTCTCGCAGGAGAAATGGGCAGGAGAGCGATCTCTAGCGACCTCCGACCAGTGACCCCCAACTGTCGCGTCATACTCCGTGACAAAGCGCACGCTGCTCGGAGGCCGTTGAACAGGCCGTGGGCCCGACTTCCTGTCTTGACGGATCTGATCGAGAGATGGATTTCCAGCCGTCCGCCCCCTGCCCGAACGATTTAGAACTCTCTGGAATTTCGCAGGTGGTTCAAGAGGAACTTGGAAGCAGAGGGCCAGCGACATGTTTCAGATCTTGCCAATCTTAGGGCAGCCAAACACAGGTTCGAGTCAGTCACGAAACCCGTTCAACGCAGTTGTTTTCATTGCCGTAGCTTGTTGCGCACAATGGTTCAGATTGCAAACTTTCGTCGAGGCGAGTTTGGTGGCAACGCCGCTGCTTTCCTCGGGTCTGTGAATGCATTCGACATGTTGATGTCGGCTATGGGTGCTGACGCTGCGGACGAGATGCTTTCGTTGATTCGCTTCCACGACAATGAGTCCGCCGACGCGGCTACCATCGCGCAGAAAGTCGACGAGTGCGTGACCAAACTTGGCTGCGCGTGCGACTGGGGAGGCGCGAGGGGGGGGCGCCCCCCCAAAGCCTTGGAGACTCAAGCCCGTGGCGCCAACATGTTTTTTATAGTTCGTTTTTATTCTCGAAGCCCCATTTGGGGTTCTTGGGCGGCTCGAACCTCGGCAGCAGGAACTCATTCTCAGGAAATGCCCCCCATCGCGCCTCCTGCGCGCCGCCGGCAATCTCAACGCGCTGTTCGGAGAATCTGCCAAGTGCATTGAGAGGGTGTGCTTCACTAGCCACATGCTGACTATGCTCTGGCATTCTGCGTGCGATCCAAGGTCAGCAGGTGGAGGGAAGGAGGGAGGAAGGAGGGAGAAGAAACCAGTGAGGGCGACGGCGATGACAACGAGGAGGATCGAGAAGATGGAGGGCGAAGGAGGATTCCCTTCCTCCTCCTCCTCCTCCTCCTCCTCCTCCTCCTCCTACTCCTCCTCCCACTCCTACTGCTCCTCCTCCTCCTCCTCCTCCTCTTCCTCCTCCTCCTCCTCCGCCACCTCGCCCTCTTCGTCGCGCCTCCTCACGTGCCCAGTGACCTCCCTCCTCCTCCTTGTCCTTTCCCAGGTCTTCCGCCCCTCCACCCGGCGAGGGCCCACGGGCCCCTTTTAACCGACTCCGCAGGTCCGCGCCGTGGGCCTGGCCGACGAGAACCGTCGAGCAGCTACCGCGGACAGGGCCCTCAACGTCATGCGTGGATGGCTGAAGCTCATGGTTGTCGAAATCAATGCTGAATTTCCTGAATGGGAGTTCGCGCAGGCTTTCGCTGTGTTCAATTTGTCGGACGAGCCAGCTGTGCGTGCTCAGCGCGAAGGAACAACGCTTCGTTGACAGTTGTGTCGGATAGCTCGCGCTGTGCAGTTGACGAGCCAGCCCCCCACTGGGAGTTCACGTCGCATCTTAGCGATGCCCGCGCGTACTTCATGGACCATGGTGGCTCTTTCAAGACATCGTGGATTCACGCTCGCGCGAAATCAAGTGGCCAGCGCCCAAACACCAACCTGGAAAAGGCGATCCTGGGCTGGCTCGCAACTTCATGTTCCACATCTGGGGTCGAGCAGAATTTCTCCAAGGGCGCGTGGGGCGTCAACGACAGGCAGTTATCCGGCGGCATTGCGCACGAGAGGTCCACGCACAGGCTCCTGCTGCACGATGGCCCGATCGACGACCTCATTGAGGGTGCCCAGCGAGTGTGGAAGCATTGCTTCGGCATTGAGAGGGCGAGCGGCTCCGACAACCGCGAGGAGCGCAGTGACAAGGGCACCAAGCGTGCGCTCAGACAGTCGATGTGTTGACAAATTGGGCCGCCCCCCTCGCCAACCCTCACCTCTCCCCCAGCCGGGGAGGAGGATCAGCGGGGGGCGCGTATCTCCTGGCTTCCCCAGGTCTGACGAGATCCCGGAGAAGGGGCTACAGAAGAAGATGCGCAGCTTCCGCGTCCAAGGAGACAGAGGCGCACAGGCGGCCATTGCAGCGCTCGCTGGTGGCGCTTGGACAGATGAGCACGACAAGGAACGCACTTTCGCAGAGGACAAGCTGTTCAAACGAAGGGTCGAGGAAAGCCTTGAGGGACTGCTCCTTCCAGATCAGGACAGCGATGTACTACAGTGGCACGCTGCCAACAGAGTTGATGCCACGGTGAAGAGCCAGCAGGAGCGGGATCGGCGCGACGCGCGAGGCGGCCTGCATCGGGGAGAAGGGGAGCGGCCATCACCTGAAGACCTGCGAGGGAAGACGCGTTTCGCGCGCAAGTTGGAGCACTGGGACGAGTTGTTGGCCAATGGCGTTGTGATGACGCGGCGTGTTGCCCCATGGCTTGCAGAAGTGATTGTGGTTGGTGACTTGACCAGCGTGCCGACGTTCTTGAAATGGGTAGCTGCGGTTGTTGGCGCCTATGTAAGTACCCCCACGGAGCTCTCCACATCCACGGGCGCGTGCCTGAAGTACAGCCGCGCCATTGCTTCGTCCCGGTTCATCCACGTCACCGATTGCTTCAAGGCCAATCACCGCCAGTACTACGAGCTCCTGACCACAGCGGCCGGCTTTGCTGATTCCAAGTGGCAGTTTATAGATGCAGCTAACTTCTTGGTCAAGAAAGCGGGTGTATACAAGGACCGCACAGAGGCGTTGGCCTTGGCCACCACCGTCGACATGGAGACTCCGCCATTACAGGGCATCAAGCACGTGTTCGGCGGCCCTGGCTTCCTGGACCTCATCACGAAGGTTGATTTCAATGCATCGGCAAGTGGTATGCTACGGTGCAGCGTGGGCTGAGCAAAAGCATCATCGTCCTTCCTCTTTCTCCTCGCCCTCCTCCTCCTCCTCCTCCTCCTCCTCCTCCTCCTCCTCATCCGCTAAGCCCCCCTCCACCCCGGCAGCTCCTGGCAACGTGACGCGCGGGCGCGGGCGCGAGAGGGGGAACGTGCGAGATGAGGGCGGAGTAGGAGGGGAAGAAGGCGAGGACGAGGAGGGAAGGTCGGTTTGGATGTCGCCCCCCACCGTCTCTCGCCCAGCACTCCGTCACGTGACACCTCCTGGCGCTTGGTCGGTCGCGCGCTCGATTCGGTCGCGACGCCGATCGACTGCTCGACTTGGCACTCGGTCACAACACACCGACCCCGCTCGACTCGGCATTCGGTCACGGCACCGATCCGGTCACCCCTCTCGACTCGGCATTCGGTCACGTCACCGCTCCGGTCACCCCGCTCGACTCGGCACTCGGTCACAGCACCGATCTCACTCGACTCGGCATTCGGTCACATCCCCGACCCCACTCGACTCGGCATGCCACGACCCCGACCCCACTCGACTCGGCACTCGATCACGTGGTCGGTCGGTTGATGTGCCCAGGACACCCTGCCGAGTCGGAGGTGGGTGGGCGCCCCACCTCAGCACGTCAGTCACCTAGCTTTGCGCCTGACGAGCCGAGGTGGGGACGCACGACTTCGACTGACGAGCCGAGGTGGGGGAAATCTCACACGCCTTTACCCCGCTCGACTCGGCGGTCGCCCGTCCCTCTGCGTGACGAGTGGCGGCAGGGCCCCCACCCACCTCCGACTCGGCAGGGTGTCGGGGCACACGTGACGAACCGAGGTGGGTGGCGCCTGGCCGCCCCTGCCGCCGCCTTGCCCCTCCTCTTCCTCCTCCTCCTCCTCCTCCTCCTCCTCCTCCTCCTCCTCCTCCTCCTCCTCCTCCTCCTCCTCCTCCTCCTACTCCTACTCCTACTCCTCCTCCTCCTCCTCCTCCTCCTCCTCCTCCTCCTCCTCCTCCTCTCCCTCCCTCCTCCCTCCCTCCCTCCCTCCCTCCCTCCCTACCTCCCTCCCTCCCTCCCTCCCTCCCTCCCTCCTCCATCCTCCCTCTTCCTTCTTCCCTCCTCCCTCTTCCTCCATCCTCGTCTCCTCTTCGCCCATAGTTGTTCGAGTCATCAAGTCTACAAACAGGTCACAGACATGAGACAGATCAGAGTAGGCACCGATTTTTCGGGGATTGACATGCCGATATTACCTAACAGCGAAGACTGATAGGTTTCTAGTGGTCTAAAAAGAGAGCAGCACATTACTTCAACATTACTTCAACATTACTCCACAGGGGGGTCTGGGCAGCCGTTGGGGGCAGTTGGGGGGCAGTTGGGGGGACGTTGGGGTTTGCCGGCGGGGATCGTTTTTCGCATACAGTCACACACTTCGTGCCCACTTCGTGCTCTTCGATTTCCCAAAACTCCATTCCCGGGCCACATTTTGGATGCCCGGAGCCAACTGTAGGCCACTTCGTGCTCTTCCATTTCCCAGAACTCCATTCCCGGGCCACATTTTGGATGCCCGGAGCCAACTGTAGGCCACTTCGTGCTCTTCATTTCCCAGAACTCCATTCCCGGGCCACATTTTGGATGCCCGGAGCCAACTGTAGGCCACTTCGTGCTCTTCGATTTCCCAGAACTCCATTCCCGGGCCACATTTTGGATGCCCGGAGCCAACTGTAGGCCACTTCGTGCTCTTCGAGTTCCCAGAACTCCATTCCCGGGCCACATTTTGAATGCCCGGAGCCAACTGTAGGCCACTTCGTGGTCTTCGAGTTCCCAGAACTCCATTCCTGGGCATGATTTTGAATGCCCGGAGCCAACTGTAGGCCACTTCGTGTTCTTCGAGTTCCCAGAATTCCATTCCCGGGCCACATTTTGAATGCTGCTGAGGCTGAGGCTGAGGCAGGCTGGCTGAGGCAGGCTGAGGCTGAGGCTGAGATGCAGGCTGAGGCTGCAGGCTGAGGCTGAGGCGAGGCTGAAGGCAGGCTGAGGCTGAGGCTGAAGCAGGCTGAGGCTGAGGCTGAGGCAGGCTGAGGCTGAGGCAGGCTGAGGCTGAGGCTGAGGCTGATGCAGGCTGAGGCTGAGGCAGGCTGAGGCTGAGGCTGAGGCCAAGGCTCAAGGCAGACTGAGGCTTTGGCTGAAGCAGGCTGAGGCTGAGGCTGAGGCTGAGGCTGAGGCAGGCTGAGGCTGAGGCTGAGGCAGGCTGATGCTGAGGCAGGCTGAGGCTGAGGCTGAGGCTGATGCAGGCTGAGGCTGAGGCAGGCTGAGGCTGAGGCCGAGGCTGAAGGCAGGCTGAGGCTGAGGCTGCAGGCTGAGGCTGAGGCTGAGGCAGGCTGAGGCTGAGGCTGAGGCAGGCTGATGCTGATGCAGGCTGAGGCTGAGGCTGAGGCTGATGCAGGCTGAGGCTGAGGCAGGCTGAGGCTGAGGCCGAGGCTGAAGGCAGACTGAGGCTGAGGCTGAAGCAGGCTGAGGCTGAGGCTGAGGCAGGCTGAGGCTGAGGCTGCAGGCTGAGGCTGATGCTGAGGCAGGCTGAGGCTGAGGCTGAGGCTGATGCAGGCTGAGGCTGAGGCAGGCTGAGGCGGAGGCCGAGGCTGAAGGCAGACTGAGGCTGAGGCTGAAGCAGGCTGAGGCTGAGGCCAAGGCAGGCTGAGGCTGAGGCTGAGGCAGGCTGATGCTGAGGCAGGCTGAGGCTGAGGCTGAGGCTCATGCAGGCTGAGGCTGAGGCAGGCTGAGGCTGAGGCCGAGGCTGAAGGCAGACTGAGGCTGAGGCTGAAGCAGGCTGAGGCTGAGGCTGAGGCAGGCTGAGGCTGAGGCTGAGGCAGGCTGATGCTGAGGCAGGCTGAGGCTGAGGCTGAGGCTGATGCAGGCTGAGGCTGAGGCAGGCTGAGGCTGAGGCCGAGGCTGAAGGCAGACTGAGGCTGAGGCTGAAGCAGGCTGAGGCTGAGGCTGAGGCTGAGGCTGAGGCTGCAGGCTGGCTGAGGCAGGCTGAGGCTGAGGCTGATGCAGGCTGAGGCTGAGGCAGGCTGAGGCTGAGGCCGAGGCTGAAGGCAGACTGAGGCTGAGGCTGAAGCAGGCTGAGGCTGAGGCTGAGGCAGGCTGAGGCTGAGGCTGAGGCGGGCTGATGCTGAGGCAGGCTGAGGCTGAGGCTGAGGCTGATGCAGGCTGAGGCTGAGGCAGGCTGAGGCTGAGGCCGAGGCTGAAGGCAGACTGAGGCTGAGGCTGAAGCAGGCTGAGGCTGAGGCTGAGGCAGGCTGAGGCTGAGGCTGAGGCAGGCTGATGCTGAGGCAGGCTGAGGCTGAGGCTGAGGCTGATGCAGGCTGAGGCTGAGGCAGGCTGAGGCTGAGGCCGAGGCTGAAGGCAGACTGAGGCTGAGGCTGAAGCAGGCTGAGGCTGAGGCTGAGGCAGGCTGAGGCTGAGGCAGGCTGAGGCTGAGGCTGAGGCAGGCTGAGGCTGAGGCTGTGACTGCGACTGCCGTTGCCGCTGCGACTGTCATCGCGAGTGCGACTACGACTGCGAGAACAGCAGAATTCTACAACTGGGTTCTCATCCGAATCTTACGGGGAATGCTTCCAGATATGCTCCTACACATCGCTGTTAGGTTGCTTTGCCGGGATAATTTGCTTTGAAAGAGATGGGCGTTGACTACATACATGTGTTCTCATCAGACAACAACTCGGCGTGCAAGAAGGTCATTCTGAACACTCATTCCCCGAAAAGGTTTTACGACGACGCCCAACAACCCAAATCCCAGGATGACAAAACAGACCTTTACTTTTTTGGCTTCCCGTGCCAACCCTACGCTGCGGGCGGGAACCACCTGGGGGACGATGACCCCCGTGCCATGGTCGATGAGAGCTTGGACTACATCACAAACTACAAACCCTCGGCGGTTATGATGGAAAACGCCCCTGGCCTGATGACCACGCATAGGAACGCCCTGGAGAAGATCGCAAGCCGCCTTCATCGGGATGGATACGCCACCAAACACAAGCTCCTGAACTCGAAAGACTTCGGGGTCCACCAGAACCGCCAAAGGCTGTACCTTGTCGCTGCGAGGAAAGACAAGTTGAAGAAAGATCGTACATTCGAATGGCCACAAGCAATGCCCCTGAAAGGACCGCCACCACTGGACCGCCTCAAGTCCGACGAGGACCCCAAGACGCTCCCCTCGACGACCCTGAACGGTGGTCTGGCTAGGTCTCTCTTGAAACGGTCGATCTGGGAGTGCTTGGCTGGAGATCCGCCTGCTGACCCCAGGAAGACCCGCGTCTTCACTGACATCTTGTGCTCCGAGCAGTATTTCACGAAGAGGATCAAAGTACTGCCTTGCCTTACTTCTCGGCGGGGCTACGGGGGTGGCCATCGGAACGACGGCCCCAGCCTGGATCCGTGGTTCTGAGTCTGCAGGCTGGCCCTGGGCTGGGTGGGGGGACGGCGGAGGCCCTGGGCGGCGAAGCCTTTCCCTGGCCGGGAACTCCAGACCCTGGCCAGGACCACACCTTCGTCCAGCCGTGGCGACGAGGGCCCGAAGATGGCCAGAAAAACCCGAGGGCCCAAGACCGCGAAAGCAGAATCCATCAAAACCTTCGGAAACCGATGGTGGTGGCCTTCCCGCATTTTCGCTTATGATGGGTTTGCGAAGCCTGAAGACGGCTCCAAGATGGCCTGAGAGGGTTTCCAAGAGGGGCCCAAGAGCGGCCCAAGAGCCCCCCAAGAGGACATCAAGAGGCCCATTTGAAGGCTCCGAGGGGGGAACGCTAAAATAGCCCACCGCATGTTTGATCCATGGCATCCAAGATTGCCCAAGAGATGCTCCAAGGCCACCAAGGGCTCCAAGGGAACCCCCAGAGCGCCCTTACGATGACCCTAAGAGGCTTGCAAGACGTCGCCAGTGCTCAAGCAAAGAAAGCAAACCAATGACTCCCGATAATAAGTGCACTTCGCAAAGGTGGCTCTTTTAGGATGGGCTGGTGGG